CCCCCCCCCCCCCCCCCCCCCCCCCCCCTGTTCGTTCGTTCCCATCTCTCACGCATGGTACCCATAGGTAGAAGAATTGTAGGCGAGAATTTAGAAGCAAGAAGTTCACTACAGTTTTCTAACTGTCTGGAAGGGCAAAAGCTGATCCATTCGGGGTGAATTGATCTCTTAGGAATGCGCCACGTATTCGTCTTTAATGCAGACCATAGGGACGTTACTTTGGTCTACACTATAAGTTGGAACACCTCTTATTGTTCAATACTGTTTTTTTGTTTCTTTCCACTTCTAGTCAAGCATGGTAGCAATTATTTACTGAAAGATAATCCAAAAGCTTTTTATCCAAATAGTGAAAAATCCTGAGCGAGTAGGTGGACTGGTGAGCCTCTTGCGCCTCTACTACCCAAACTATTTACCAGTTAACCAGAAACTTTTCTAGGGCTGAGAGGCTGTTTCACCTTAACAGACGTCAAAACTTCGTTTTCTGAAGGCCTCTTCACCAGTCTGTCTTGATTTCCCTTCTCAAGTTCGTGTGTCAACAATGACATGTGTCCGAGCTCGTTACCAATCCCCAGTCCATTCTTAGTGGCCTTAAAACGAGTGATGAGGCCTAACATAGCTCAAGTATTCCTTCCTTGAATTCCTTCCTTTAGGGTATGTACTGCATAATTACTTCAGTATTCTAAGAAAAGTAGGCGGGACTAGGCTGCCTCGATCAACCCTGGGCTTTCATTTTCGTCGAGATATTCGTTCTGTGTAGTGGTGCTTGTCCTAATAGAATTCCAAACATCCCTCCATGCTTCTTGACCAGTCCCCCTTACTCTTCCTTCTCGTGCTGGCAGATTTACGATGGCATGCCTCCGTATGTCACTAATCCCAATCCATACTTAGTGACGTCGGTCTTCCGATTCGCTCCGGACGAGGGGGTGTGAGCAAGAGCTTAGGACGCTCTGACGCTTCCTGCTTCTGATTCCTAGTAAATATATGAAATTATATCATAAAAGCTGTGCTGCGTGCGCTAATGCATACATCACAACAAGGAATGCCTTCGACAGTTAAACAAATCCGATTTAGCTCCTCTCCTAAGGAGTTTTGTTCACCCTTCCTTCCGTAACCCCTGACCACTTTTTTCCGGATTCTAGACCATTTTTTGAAAACACGATTATGAAAGTTTGTCACGTGCATCTTCCATCTCCCACCACGCCCCGCCCATCGTGGGCGGAGCTTCGTTTATGGTACGGTACGCACTATTCTATAAAATCATACTGCATGTAACTTACAACATATTTAAATAGTATTTATTGAGAATCAGAACTAGCTGAGTGAACATCGAACACCACAACATTTAAGTATATTGATCGTCACTAAAAAAGGATGAATAATAAAGTTTCTTGGCGTCAACCGATTTCTTCTTGAAATGAGTTCTTTATCCAACCGCCATCCTCCCAGATAAGGTTGATTGGTAGCAATTAGCCGACCGCGAAGGGATGAAAGGCCTGATTGGCCTAAGCGAGTACCACGGACTGTGTGTGATAGTTCGCCAGTTGGCAATTCACCCACCTCCCCCCGCCCCACATTACAACTACTACATAGTGTGCTTAAAACTAATAATATACAGTAAAACAAACCTCACCAGAATCTACAAAATCTATTAAATATTTCAAATGCAAAGAATACAAAAGAAAGCTGTAGAAATACAAAAACCAAAAAAAAAAACAAAAAATCAAATAAAAAAAAGAATTTCAGCCAGGAATAAAATTCATTTGCTATTAGAATCAGTCTATATTCATAATTTTTGATCTTCGCATTAGGGTTGCCCAAAGTTTCCATAATCAAGCGTGGGTTGGGGAGTCCAAAGGTCTGAACTCGTAAAGAAAAACGTGTCTGGTGACACTTCACGTGATTCATGCACAAACACCCCGGGCCTAATCCTTTCGGCTCCCATCTGGTTTAGGGTTCAAACGTCTCTTGCCTGTTCCCACACGTTTCTTGAACCCTCTTCAAGTGGTCTCCCATGCTTTTAATAGTTTTGATCAATATCTGAAAGTCTACTGGCCATGGGTAACCAGGTGGTACCCATGGCCAGTACGCATAGTTAGGCGTCGTCAAGAAGCACCGGCTGTCGTCACGGCGCTATTATCGATTTCTCGTTGTTCAGTGAGCGCGCGGCCGCGTCGTGTGCCGGTCGTGTGGTCTTCAGGAGGAGGTCTTCGTCGTCATCGCTTACTTCTTTTGTCATCAGTCAAGTGTTTTACCATCAACTATGGATGCTGATGATCTCTACGATTCGGCTGATGACGATATAGATGGTCAGTTCCTTCTCGATTTGTGCTATTTCCTGGTTTTGAATGTATCTGATTATATTCGCATAATTAAGTTTGACAGGTAGTTTCATTGATAATCGGCTAACCTTAGACTGCAGTTGTTTAGTTAAAGAAGAAAATAGCCGAGAAATAATTTGCCTGGGAGAAGTAAGAGAGTGAATAGGGTCGGTTGTGTACACGTTGTAAAGGGGGATGTGGTGAAGAATCAGCTGAGCGACCTGCATGATTCATTTTAACATAGATTTTTCGGTATGGGAGAAGGGTCGGTTTTCCCTGAGGTTTTACTGTGAGCTTTTTGAACGTCATTCGTTTACCCGCTCATCAGAAGGCATGGTGTACCTTCGAGTTACAAAAGTAATATCCTACATAGTGTAAGATAGCTACAAAAATGGCGTTAAAGCTTCAGAAACAATGAAACAGTGGGGCACGAAAGCTATTAAAGAAGGTTTTTGAGTATTTCGAGTTTATTTGGAGACATGATCTGCATCTGTTCATCTAGAAAGAACATCTAAATATCTTTAGCCTACATATCCACCTTTCCTTAAACATTGCTTGACGATACATTATGTGTGTGTGCTGCGTTCTAGAATTTTTTTTTTTGATTAGAGAAGAGTATGATGCCATATTGGGACGAGACTTCATCTCTGCCCATGGTGGACAGTGAGGGCTTAAACACTGAGGGTAGGGAACTATCATTGTTTCTAGACCGCGTAAACTACCAATTATTTCTTCAGGAACTCTTGAAATTGCCATTTGCCAGAGAGAGCAACTTGTTGAGAGAAAACGAAAAGTCTTCAAATGAGTTCAATGCTAGATTCGAATATGCTTATGTTGCTACAGTTAAGATTTAGGAGGTTGAGTCTGATTTTAGAGCCAATGGAAGTTCTTGGAAGTCAAATGTTTCATGTTTCATCCCTCTCGGTCTCTCATTTTATACCTCAACTCATTCAAACAGTGGTGGAGATACCGTTGAATTCGTACTGTAAATGTCAATGGATTAGCTCTCCTCACATGATCATTAGTAATTAGTTGTACTCTGAATTGTCAGACTGTACTTGGGTGCATGTAGGTGTACTACTGAATATTGCGTTTAGATTTTTTGCGTCATGGTTTTATCCAATTCATGCTTTCTCATGAACGAGGAAGTAAAGCTAATTCACGGAAGCGATTAGATTGCGAAACTGAATAATCGTCCATTGTGCTTTTCCCATGAGTAATTGCAAATGCACTCTGTCAGCTTTATATCGTGGTAATGTCATTTTTTATAGGGATTCTATTACTACCCTAACAAATGCTTCCTATTGAAATGACTCGGATCAGTTTCAGAAACCAGTTTAGCTTTTGAAGTAGTTGCCGAATCCAATGTTTTTATGAAAATTGAGATAATCATTGAATTCCGATTACACCTAGGATATCTGCAGTGTTGTTAAAATGGAAGAAGTGCCACACAGTAGCGCCTAGACGTGAAATTTTGGGGCCAAGGAAGAAGAATATTTCTATGCAGAAGTAGAATACGCGGAGATTTGCTTTGAACATCTTAAATTCAACGAATAACTTCAAACATTAGGGTTCTCCCAAGTACACTCATGCAGTATTTTAAAAACGCTTCATTTTCAGACTATTACAATGACTACGATGATGATATGAATCCCGATGAAGAACTAAAGAAAAGCGAGTCTGAAGATGCTGAATTCGAGTGCCTAAATGTTTTTCAGGTGTGTCTGTTTTTATTTGTCTTTTCTTCATTTATACACGAAAAACTAAGCCATTGAGGTGGAATAGAATTAGGAAAAAATCTGTTACGAAATTTTTTGATCGGATTTAGATGACAGCTGAAAAAGTTCTTGCCATCCTCATAAGGTTCAGGGTGGCATCACTTATTTCCATGCCCTAGCCGTTTCGTTGTGTGCTCAGCGCCGATTTTCTCTATCAAGAATGATTGTGATGACTCTTGCAGTATATCTCGATGTGTTTTTTTTTTCTGCAGCATATTATCAGCGCGCTAAAGCAAATGAATTTATGAAGCTGAATGAAACCTGAAAGTAATCTGTCGGCATTTTTTCAGGTAGAACGGGTGCTGAATGAAAGTGTTGCTGCTTTGGCAGAAAAGGAAGTAATTTCGCCTACATTAGCACGCATGCTCCTTCATGCCAATGAATGGGACGTGAACAAGGTTCCTGCACTTTTCTCATTTTCATTGTTCGTTTATACCTATCGCACTTGCTTTAAAAGCTTCCGTCTTAATCTCAAAGATATTCCCAATTTTCTTAACCGCGTAGCTTTCAATTCGCATTATTTTCGTCACAACTTTCACATGCCGCTGCCTCAAGCTCCTTAGAAAGGAGATTGTGTCGTGATCGTCAGTCCTAATTTGACAGTGCTAGTGAATTATATAACGCATACTGGTATGTGCGTTATGGCACTAGCATTACTTTACGAATGACTTGGTTATCTTAGGATTGGATGGTATTTCGAATCGCACCCTATCGGTAAAGATAAGGCAGGATAAGTCTTTTGAGTACTGTAATTGCATTTGCTGAAATGATGACCTTCCCTCGTAGTGCATACCATGTTTACATTCATGTTTGGTTAGTTGGAAGAAACGTCCCCGAAAATTCACAGTTGATAACTTCAGCTCTTTTCTTTGTAAATTTCCTCTAATTTTCTACTCTTCAGGTTTCCTCCCTACTTTTGACCAACGGTGCAGCAACACTCCGGTCCAGTGGTATTCTTCCTCCAGGAGCAGCAACCGTCTCAAGGCAAAGCTCTGCTCTCTCGTACTGCGCAGTGTGTGCTGAAGAAGGTCTCCTTGAAATGCGTGCATTGGCTTGTGGCCATGCCTTCTGCGCAATGTGTTGGCGTCTACACATCGAAGCGAAGTAGTGCCTTCTCATTATCAATTGAATATTCATAAGTCATGTCACATTTTGATTCAGGATATCTGAAGGAGTAGCGTCCCGGTTGGAATGTATGGAACCCAGTTGTCCTCTATTATGCCCGAGTGAATTTGTGCTCCGGATTCTTGACAAACCACAATTTCGTGCCCGGTGAGCATAGACGTAGTTTCTCTATTTTGGCATATTAATATTCATTGGAATTGGAGAAAACAGGCTGTTTCTAGGTATGAGCGTTTTGTCTTTCGTGATTACGTGTCCTCTCACCCTGAACTCAAGTTTTGTGTAGGAAAGGATTGTCAGGTTTGTTAGATAGACCCCTTCTACACATTTGAAAGTATGCAGATATGAGCTTCATTTGTTTCAGACTGTGATACGGTCTAAAGAGAAAAAACCAAAAAGAGTTACCTGCTCGACCTGTAACACTTCATTCTGGTAAGCTTAAGTGGTTCATTGCTATGTTCCTAAAATTCACTCTCTAATGTAATATGTCTCTATGGTGAACTTAGAAGCACGGATCTGTTGACGTTCTCATTGATCTAGCTCGTATCGGTGTATAGTTAGGAAAAGTAATTATGTCCGATTCTAGTTCCTTTTACGTGGGAATTCCCAAGCTCTTCAAGGAATCTTCAGAAATTAGTAGTTGTTGCAATCTTGCCGGACGCTATCTTACAATCAATTTTTTCGAAATATTTTTCGAACATTACGAAAATGCACGGGCCTGGTAGGCATGTACTTGTGTACATGAACGAAAGGCTGAAGGATGCCGCAATGAGTCGAAAGGAGGCATTTGGCTCTCGAGAATTGCGCAAGGAGTAAGCCTTCATCAAGCCCTTTTACGCAAAAGAAAGGGAAAAGCTTTCAAATGAGACGCTCAAAAGAAAAAGGTGTTTGAAGATAGAGCAGAAGTCCGCCTTTCCGAGAGTAATAGTTTTTCATTCTCGTAAAGTGCGAGTATCTGCCTCTATTTTACTCTGCGCTGGTAATTCGACTTGAGATTTGTCTATTCCCTGAATGGGCTGATTCATGGTAACATTTAATGTATCTGTGAAGTGTGAAGCAGATGATGGAACTTATGACTATGCTCCTTTTGGCCGAATTCTTACATCTTCTTGTGTTGCTTGGGATTGGAAGATTGCTCGCCTGCCAACAATGCCTATACCATGCATCGCTCTATTTCCAGAAGTTGTGTAGTTCTATGAGGTATAGTGTGCAGTCCCGTCGTTTTAGAGAACCTTTTGATAAGAAAAAAAAANAAAAAAAAACGGCAAATAGAAGCGTATCGACTGGAAGATTCGGATAGTTGTATTTTCCAAGGTTTCCCATATTTCTCGATTCTTTAAAATCACACAAAATGGTGCATATTTACTTCCTCGCAGATATTGGAGTAAACACTAACACCCACAATAGTAATATGGGAATCGATCGAAAAATCATAGATAGCATAGATAGCGCAAATAAAATTTTCTTCGATCGATTCCCATATTATTATTGCAGAGTTTCTCCAGTTCTCTGGTGAAACGGGTAATGAAAATGTCTGACGAATGTAGTGTGCATCTTATTAAGCGTACATTCCTGTTTTGCTTCTCTTTGTTCGATGGTGACATTTGGTAGGGATCGCAGCTTTTGTTCAAGCTTAACGCTCCATTTGACTATGTCATTTCCCGAAAATATGAGTCATTTTATACTTGTGGGACGGAAGAGAAAGAAAGAAAGAAAGAAAGAGCGAGGAGGAGCAACCAGAAATGTAGAATGTAATGCGAGGTCTGAAGTGACGTAAATTGTACTTGCGTGGTACACTCTTGTTCTCGTTTCAATTTCTAACTTTCTTAGTTTTATCTTTGCCACAAAACGACCTTTTTCCGTAGTCTATTAATTACGGCGCATAAAAACGAAAAATCATTCAATCGCTGGAAATTCTGACGTTCTTGTACGAGTTCAAACTGTCGACGCAATCCACTCCAGCCACTATAGGGAAAAAAGTATCAAATCGTTTCGAGACCCTTCATGTCCCAAAGATGGGAGTTCCAGTTAAAAATAAGCTCGCTAAAAAGGTTTAACAATCTATAATAAGAGCAAGAAATCAGCAATTTCGCGAAATATTAAGTTGTAAGAATGTTATCTCGTGATACGCCTCCGTTGTAAAGTTTAATTACCGTTTTGGGGATCTCTTCTGTTTCTGTAATCTCAACGAAAGATATGAGTTCTAACACTTTTTAAAAATACCACTGCCTCTATTCTTCAATCGAAGTTATGATGATTAGGCGTAGTACTGAATCTTAATTTGTACCCCGCGCTGAAATGTGGTATCAGGCTTACGGTACGGCGATGTTTATGCAGCGATTTATCAGTTTACCGAATCACTATCATGGATTATGGACGGGTGATTATTGATTTTTCCATGAATATCTGTCCATATTATCATCTTTTACCTTGTGATATATTCAAAGGCATGCTAAAAACGCGTGCGCTTGTCGATTTTAAAACTTCTTTGTTCCTCTAGTCGTTCTATACTGAAGTTATGATTGGCTTGAACTAAGAATTTCCGTTACATGATAATTTTTGAAATACCAAGATTGGTTCCAATAGCTGTCTTACCAGAGGTGTGAGGGAAGATCGGAGTAGCGCACTTGGCCTAATTTGCTTCAAACGCGAAAAAATAAGGCAGTGCAACGGAAGATAGGAGAGTATTAGGTTGGCAAATAAGTCCTGCGACAAAAAATTTGAAGCGTTGAAAATTTGTATCAACAGTGTGAACACGGTAGCAAGGGTGATGGACTTGTAGGACATTCCTCAGGCAATGAACACATGAGTAAATAAGGGCACGCCTGTGGGCTTTCGCAGCATTACGGCCAATAAATGGACAACACCCGATTTGTAAAATCACCTCCTCCTAAGCACGCCAAGGAAAAAACATGAGTGTAGCGGCTCGAAATATCAGCAATCTATTCAATGCTGGCACTGCTAA